GTGATAAAATTCTCAGAATTAGAATAAAACAAAACCGATAACAATGCTTTTTTCCGTAGCATTGTGTGGCAGTATAACAAAATAAGTTGTCCCATATTCAGCCACAAATTTCCAGTTAAAATATTTTTCATTTTAGCGGAAATGTCCGGTCAGAGTGTCCAACCAGGCTAAGCTTTTACCTGTCAAAACCTCAAATTTACCAGACAATTGTCCAATGACCGACTGTTATTTGCAGGCTTGCCTCACTGAAATGTTGTTTGACTTGAAATCACCCCAAAAAGGTGTGAAATTAGGTGCAGAAAACCCACCCTGGATATGAAAATTTCCTAACTAAGGGTAAGATTTGAAATTTACACACCCTGCAAGGATGAATCTGCCAAAAAAACACCCCACCGTAGAAATTGTCACTGAATTTTACATACTGAAAGAGCTTTTGGGGGTGAAAGCTGACTGTGACCAACCCTTGAAGGATGAAATTTCTAAGAAAAACCACTCTTGGTATCGAAATGGGGGTGAAACGAGAAGATTAAACAGCTTTATGCCTCAACGTTAGGGTTAGGGTTAGGGAGGATCCTTGGCTGGGATCAATTTCCTCACCCCAAAAGTCCAGAGGTTGAAATCTAACTTACACAAGATGTGAGGATATCATTTGGTAACTTGGTCAAAACAGGTTAAACCTTACCAGCAGTAGGTAGCTTTGGCTTGACTCTGTAACCAAATGCGGCCGATAATCCTTTATGTACGACAACAAAAGTCGACAGAGCTCGTCTTCGGGCTGAAAAAGATCAGTGGCATTGACCTCAATGTCTGGTCAATCATCAAACTAAATGATAAGTCAATACTTTTGGGTGCAGAACAGCCTTTGTACAAATTTCTAACAATTAAAGATTGGAATAAATGGCCAAACTAACCAGCTTGAAAATGGAATCAACATCAACAGATATAAACAAATGTTTATGGATGGAGTTTTACATCCATGTCAATCAGTAGAAATTTTAGGTAAATCATCTCAGATCACCATTAGTTGTGCAGAATCACAAAACTGGCTACCCTTTTATGATGAGATCAATGTATTGTAAATAAATTATGCTTATGCCACAAATGCTTAAATGGGCAATGCCCAGAGTACTTTGGAGATAAATTAGTGCGTATCAGCAACATGTCAACCAGAATCTCACACTATGGTGATATAACTATACGCTGTTCTAGAAATAAACGTGACACAGAAGGTGGAAAAACTCTTCTTGTTACAGCTGCAAAACTTTGGAACTCTCTACCTATTACTATAAGATCTGGCACCAGTATTAATGCCTGCAAACAGAATTCTTGTAAGGATGGTTATGCTGGCTTGGATAGCTTTCCCATTTCATAAATGTTTTATCCTTTTAATATTACATTTACTGTCTTTGCCCTTTTCAATATTATTTTGTAAATTAGCTCTATCTATTTAAGGGGAGGGCCAGAAGTTTACCAGTCGTCAACTGTAATGTGTCACCCTCGGTAAACAAACTTATTTATTTATTTACTTAATTTACTGGAACCAGAGAGGAAATTGTCTAACCTGTAGAGACAGCTCATCTCGTCCAGAAAACTTTCTGGTCTTGTAATTGTTAAAGTGGAGGATAATAGCCCCACTATCCTTGACAAGCAGGTAATTCTTCCCAGCTGAGGTCTTTGGGTCGAAGTTCCTGGCCTCTTCCCCTGACAGCACTTCCAGGGTCCTGATTTCCAGCCCCCGTGACGGGGGAATGAACACATACAGGGATAGCATAATGAGATCGCAAAATTCCTTGGCTTTGAACTTCATTGGACCAGTCAATTCAAACTTTTCTCGCTGGGTGCTAACAGCAGAAACCACTTCCTCCCTTTTTTTAAAGACAAAACCAAAAACAAAAAAAGGAAAGAGGTTCACACAGGTTTGGCTGTCCAGGACAAAGGGAAAGGGAACAATTCAGGATAAAAGTACTGCAGCCAAGAGAGATCTATCTTGCTAACCGCAAACAAACAATGGTTAGTCAGTTTACTTTCAAGTGCCAATTCCTCCTGAAGCTCTAAGCTAGCCTCAAACTAGTATCCGTAATCATGTGATTGCTAACTAACACAATTGATTCTTAACAATCTGTAGTCTACATCTAGTTATGCGAGAGCTTCACTCTTTTTTAGCCAATCAGAACCAAGTCATTTTTCCAGGTATAATATTGTTGGTACTAATCGCAGTCTCTCCTGTCACAGAGTGAACAAAAAACAGTTTCCATGCCAAGACTTACCAAGGGATCCAGCGATTTTGGGCAGAAAGATCTTCCATTGTGGACGGCCTTTCCAAGTCACCTTCTTTCTGGAGAATTCGAGCTTGAACTCTCAGCTGACGGATAATGGGGACCCCTTTGAAATCAGGAGCATGCTCTCTGTGCACAAATTTGATTGGGTAGAGAAGTGAGCTGATGTGATTTGAAACCGTCGCAGAGCTGCAATTTCGTTCTTCCTGTGAGGAAACAGAACAGGTTAATTGAGGCTCGGAACAGCCAAAAATCAATAAGTAAATAAATAGATGTAAACGAAAGAAAAGGAAAAGAAAAGAATCAACATGTAGCAGAAATTCATCAGAGGCAAGAGTCTCTGGGTTAAAGTTTTCAAGCTCGAAAGGAAAAATTTCACCTACCAAGCAGTAAATCAGTGATATTAAAATTTTCCAATTTGTTGGGAATTTCTTTCTTTCAGAAAAAGTATGGAATAATACTACTACTAATAATAACAACTATTATTGACTTCTTAACGTATAGAGTCAACTTATTAGCAGCTAGCTATTTATAATTTCTCTTTAATTCGATAAAGACAACGTCCAAAACAGATTTAAGGTTATTGTTAGCATAAAACAAGTTTCAACGGCAGATCGGTAAAAAGATATCGCATTGCTGATAACACATTGTGAGTAATCAACACAACTTAGTACACGTCGTAAGGTTAAAAGTCCACTAATTTATGGCGAGAAGTTACTTTAAAACAATACCTCAGATGCAAAAGATATAGGTCCCAATCATAGCGTAATTTATCTGTGATGTTAACGTGCATAGCGAAAATCCTCCAATATTCGTCATTTTCAGCAGTTTCTTTACACACAGGTATTACGGGCTCACATTTTTTTACGAAACTAACTGATGTGGTTTTCAGTCCCCGGCCGTGAGTTCCCTTGGGCGTTTCTACTAAGGTGTCAAAACTTAATACGAAAGCCTGTAAAGAATTTCTCTCACCTTCAAAAATTCAACGTAGCCTTCGATCAAGGGAACTCTCAAAAAGCAATGTGGTAAAAGCTCTTCATCACGGCCTAAAGTAGTTCTAACGTAACCCAGAAAGCCTGCGAAGAAGATAAAAAAGGAGAGGTTATATGTTAAATCGCGTCACCCAAATATCGGTTATCATCACTTAGGCGCAAACGTGGAAATTAAGGCCAAAATTAAAAAAAGAAACAAAGATACTTACAAAGCATTCTCTCTTGAGCCTTCTCGTAAGTAGAAAGGGTCACCGGTGCTTTCTCTCTTTCAAAGTTGACTTTCTGGGTAAAGAATCTCTTTACGGAAGCCAAAAACTTTCTGACTGCCTCGGGTAGCTCACCGAATTTAACCGAATACGGGGTTTTGCGCTTGTTCCCTCTCTGCGCTGAATGCAGGGTAGATTCCGCATGAAATTCACCCGCAACGACGTCGTCTTCATTGTCGGCCTCTCTCTGCGCTGAATTCAGGGTAGGTAACGCGTGAATTTTACCCTCAGCGACGCCGTCTTCATTTTCGAAGAGTGGTTCTACCAACTTTTCCTGCTCGAGCGGGACGGGTGATAGCGGGCAATCATCCTCGATTTCAATTACATGTACCGCCGAGTTATCTGGAGCACTAGAGGAGCAAGGCATTTGTTCTTCCATTGCGAAAAAGGTGGTTACGACGAAGAAAATACCCGAGCGTGTGGTCTGTTGGCGTCGTCAATGATGATGTGGAAAAAATGATTGAATGGTGCAAGAACGATGCTTTACGAACTACGAGAATTTTCACAGGTATAAAATAGGCTCTTTGTACGATCCGGTCACATGGTACAGAATTAATTCCGCTGGGACGCAAGTTACACAGTGGGATTTTCAAAACAAAGGAAAGTCGTCCTAGACTGGTGCGAGTTCCTTTGTTTTGGAAATCCCACTGTGTAACTTGCGTAATTAACTCCGTACCATGTGACCGGATCGTGCAAAGAGCCTCACTTCCTGTGATCTTTTTATTCATTATTGCATAACTTCATAACTTCACAGCTTGATGTAAGTTACTCTGCTCGATCTTGTACGAAGGTTATTTTTGCATGATTTTCTCGGATGTACTAGTTTATCAACTATTTAAATTGGAATTGAAATAAAGTTTGCACTCATGCGTGTACGCATTGTTTCCCAAATATAGAAATGAGACAAACAGCGGTGACAAACATCAGATATAAACACATCACTTGTTATCTTTTACTTGACGTTTCGTATGCTTCTGCATACATCTTCAGAAGCGGCGGTTAATGCAAAATTGCGGTTAAATATACAGGAACACTAACTTATTACCGCACCTTTCAACTACATGCGGACTCTTACATTCAAAGCTCAACCGAAAAATGCGTTTTTCGCTACCGCCAATCAAATGTTCGGCGGCGCCTCCCAGCTTCCGACCACTGCCGAACACTGTTTCGTTGTCTGAACTGTGCTCAGCGATTTGATTACCGCGAGCTCGGCAGTAATCGGAAACTGGGAGGCGCCGTCGAACATTTCATTGACGGTAGCGAAAAACGCATTTGTCGATTGCGCTTTGAATTTAAGTGTCCGCATGTTACTGAAAGCTGCAGTAACTATTAACTATGAAGTTACAATAGAGGTGACAAAACACTAATAAAAAACGGTTGTTTTAAAGCGAGCTAGGGACGCACAAGCAGACATATTTCTGCCCAGGAACATAACCTCTTTTACTGTGATTAACACTTGAGAGGGCATTGAGAAAATAAAGACTGGGACAAAAACAGTCTGAACAATCATGCGAGCGTTTACAAGTTGAATGGCTGTTATTGAAAGACACGAAAGTCAAATTCGAGGTTCGATAAAAGTTAAATTCGTAGAAGACACGAAAGTTAGATTCGATAAAGGTTATGCAATTAACTGTACAATTGCTAAACTGACAGTTTATATCGGCGGGCTAAAATAGCCCGTCAAATTCTCCATTTTATCCCGGAAAACGCGCCACAGTGCCAGACACAATGATAGTGTTGAGATATAAAGCAAAAAAAAAATAATAAAATGCGCGCGGAAACGCGCTTTTGATGATATGGCATCAGTGCTGGCTGAAAAGGAACCCCAATTTAGTTTTCCAGCTTCAAGCTTGTGCGGTAGTATTAAACAAAACTTGAAAGGATTCTACAACAAGTTTATTTATACTCAGCTCACAAATAGAATTAAATGAACAGAAATAAGTTAATATAAAAAGAGTACATGGCCGCTTGAAATAACCTTAATGGATTCAAAAAAAAATAAATGACACGAATAACGTTGCTTAACTATAGGCTTAACTATAGTCGCTTAACTATAGGCTGAAGGGGTATCTTAACTCCCACGACACGGGATTTTGGTCAGGATTTGACTGAAAAAGTGGGTTATCGAAAGTGTGCTATTTGGTCTTCTTAAACTACCTAATAACAAGCTTAAAAAAGACAATCTCATTTCTTTTGTGATTTTTAATACAGTACTAGGAATATCCGATCTAACAATGTTGTCAAAACTCTTGGGAGTTCTTCTCTGCGTTATTCTTTTCCATAAAAGTTTCACTTCCCTAGCTGGCTGCGTTATAAACCGTTTTCCTTTAAATATTCTGCAAAAATAAAAAAAGATAATAAACACTCACCTTCACATACAAGCCACCAATAAACTATGACGTTACCAGGATGCCCTAGCAGAACTCGAGAATTTTTTTAGTTCAAGCAGTTTCCTAATTAAGCGGAGCGACCTTTGTCCAACATTAAAGGCTATTATGCCAATACGGAAATAAATGTTAGGATTCTCTCACCCTATGCAGCTAGTCATCTTCAAGCACTTGACTCCAGCGACTTCAGAACCCGTACAGCAAAGGAAAATTCCTGGTCATTTAACCGGACGCTGGTTTATCTTGTCAAGGATCGAATCCTACTTCAACTAGCCAATCTAAGCGTCACGTGGTTTTCTGCGAAAAAAAGAAAAAGAAAAAGAAAGAACCAAAACATACTAAGGAAAAGAAAACAACACTCAAATGGTCAAAGTGGTCATTTAACCGGACACTGGTTTATCTGGTCAAGGGGTAGTGCATTCGCATTGGTTTTGTCTTGTTTTGTTTTGTTTTTTTCCATTTTTATGACCTTTTCTTATAGAGATCCTTGGCAATGCCACTTGTGTGTATATAATGTGTATATATATATGTTATTAGAGTGGAAAAAGGAGTGAATACTCAAAAAACAAGCAGGGTGATTTTTCTTAAAAAATCACCCTCAATGGGGTGAATCTGTTGAACAAGACACCCCAGAAAGGTGTTTTTTCCCTTGAAATCACCCCACAAGTGTCCAGGATAACAAAAAATAACCCCAACAGGGTTGATTTTGCGTCCCACAAGGGTTAATATTGCAAATCGTGCCACCCCAGAGAGATGTGGCTTTCGGTCTAAAACACCCCAGTAGGGTTCGTAATCACAACCGCAAACCTTGATAGGGATGTAGTTTTCAAAGCAAAACACCTCACTGAAATGTTGTTTGACTTGAAATCACCCCAAAAGGTGTGAAATTAGGTGGAGAAAACTCACCCTGGATATGAAAATACCTAACAAGGGGTAAGATTTGAAATTTACACACCCTGCAAGGATGAATCTGCCAAAAAAAACACCCCACCGTAGAAATTGTCACTGAATTTTACATACTGAAAGAGCTTTTGGGGGTGAAAGTTGACTGTGACCAACCCTCGGAAGGATGAAATTTCTAAGAAAAACCACCCTTGGTATCGAAATGGGGGTGAAACGAGAAGATTAAAAAGCTTTATACCTCAATGTTAGGGTTAGGGAGGAATCTTGGCTGGGCCAAAGTAGGGTGTTTAAATCAATTTCCTCACCCCAAAAGTTTGAAAAACTTGAAAAGCTTGAAGCTTGAAAACATTGATTTTCACCTCTCTCAAACAGGAAAACTGATCACCAGTATAAAAAAAA